TTAGCTCTTCGCTAGGTGCTTTGCTAATAGTATTGTTCTTGACAATCACTGAGCTCTTCACTAGTGCATAAAATATGCCTAGAAAAATGGAAAGAGATAGAATCCCATGGAACAAAATAGAAATACATGGAAAAAAAATAGAAGTGAAGATCGAAAGTGAAAATACTAGCTACTGAATGAGGGGAAAATGATGGGGTAACTTGGTGATAGAATACAGTCTGGTGTATTATACCTTCCTTATCACTCCTGCTGTGTATATGTCATGGAACGAGTCACATACCATGCATGACAGCGGATGCATTATGAGCATGCTTGATTGTGTATGTGCTCACAGCAACAACCATCATTCCATGCCAATTTCAACTCAAATCAGTTCTTGCAACTTTAAATGGTTGAGATAGCTTGATAACTGCAGGGACAGGCAGTAGGAAGACTCTGTGCATCATTATTCCTATTCTACTTTGTCCTGGCACTGTGAGCATGACTGTTTTACCTCTCAAATGCCTCCAGACCACCCAGGTAAGGCCACTAATCATTGAATCTGCACACAGAATTATACAGACTGTAGCAGGTTCATGAGTGTATGAAGTATGGCATTACTATGCTATCCATCAATGAGGACACCCCAGATGATCCATCTCTTTGGGAAGTAATTATCAATACTTGTCCGTGCATCTTTGCAGTGTTTTGAGACTTATGAGAAGCAAAAAACTAGGACTTTCACATCAGAAAATTCTTGCATCTCATTGTTTCACATGAGCAGCTATCTATGTTAATTAGACATCTTCCACATTCACAAGTCTGCAAATAAGCTGTTGAACATCTGCTCAAGTTTCCCCCTTTTGCCCTGCCTATTGACACTTTCCTTCTCCTGCTTAGAACAGTTGTAAATCCAGTTGCAATTGTAGGCAAAATCGAGTTCCGAAGGGTTGAGGATCATGAGCATGAAGTCTATGATTGATATGTGGTCATCATGGAGAATTTTGACAGCAGACTTGATGCATTCATGTGATGAGAGTTGTGGGAAAGGGGCTGCAGAAATAGAAGAGACATCCAGTAGATCATCTGTTGTGATATTGACAAAACTAGAGTCCACAGAACAATTGAAGTCAGCATCCAGAATCCTTGAAGAACCTCACATCCTGATTGCAAGCTGTGACTAGAGTTATAGCACAATGAGCAAGTGATAGCAGTAGCAGAAAGTAATAAATATATACATGAAGTAGTGGACAAACAAAGCTGCCCAGCAGCTGGCAACCTAGTGCACTCAACTGTTGACATTGATCACAGATGACAACAAGACTTAGCAATGAGTTAGCAAAAGGTCATGTGGTTCTGATATTCCTAAACAAACTTATTTGTCATGTTACTCTAACAATCTGCTCTTGATCCAAATTCAAGCCCAGTTTTACCAGTCCATCTATCAACAGCTTGCCTCATAGACAGGCTGGTCACCAGTCTAGCTTCCTTCTTATATCTAAACCAGCCCACTGTTCACTCCATCTCATGTCCAACTAAATTCAACTCCTTCTCCCACCTTTGCTATCTTGCCTTAGCTTTCAACTTCTGAAAAAATTAGGGTTTCTATAGTGCACTTTATATCATATATAGCTGTTATAGCCTCATAACAACCCCCCCCCTTTATTATCACTGTATAGCAATCTTTTGTACCTACATAGCTGCCATAGGAATGTGAGGATTCACTATAGCAATATAATGTTATCACCAATAGCTACATTACACTATGTAACTCACAGTTACATAGCCACCATTGTCCTGTCAGGATCCACTGTAGCAATATAATGTTATCACCAACATCTACAATTCACGATTGATCACCGACTTGTGGCTATAGAGGATTATAATGCTGTTACTCAATGCTATCAGGCTCCTATATATTTGTTATTAGCTGCTATTACAATAATAATGGTATTCAAAGCAAAATTTGAAACACTCTGAAATGGTTCTGAAACGATTCAGAACCGCTCTGAAAGCTGGTTTGAAAAGGCTCTGAGAACCGCTTGAAAAGCTTTATTTTAAACTCTGTTCAAAATACTTGGCGGTTCAAACACTTCAAATTCTCGAAGTTCTGATGTAGGGTTAGGGTTAGATGCACGCACATACAAAAAAAGCATGTATTTCGAGCTAGCAAACAACGGTAAAATGTACAATCCCTCCAAGGTTCACCTCGACCGTGCCCAACGCCATCAACCTCCAGTAAAATGTCAAAGCTCATTCCAATCACTACACCCCTGCAGGTGTTTAAAGGTCAGGAAGACGGCTTATCATCAGTCGCAGTTTTCCCCCAATAAACGATGGATGATCATGGGATTGCACGACAAGACGCTTCAATAGTGACTGGCTTGGAAAAGTGAAGCCCAAGCTAGAGCGTCCAGCAGAGTGTCGCGAGGCAGACCATGTCCTTAGCACCTGCTGCACCCGTCTCCTAGGATAGAGGTCTGTTAGTTAGGGTAAGAGGGACACTAGGATGGTGGGGATGGTAGCGGTTTCGGACCTGCGAAGTTCTCGTCAGGGGGCTACCGCCTCCCCAACCGCGTTCTCAGATGATACTACTGAGCCCACCTAGTGGGAGTACAGGCTCTGTTGCACGACTGCAATCGTGAAACGATGACTGGCCAGCTGCGCCCAGCAACGATGACCCACCAGCATGGTAGTTTACGGCTGGGGGAGAGCTAGTTGGGGGTAGGAAACTTCAGACATCAATCTTGTGGCCTTGAATCCTATAACCACTTACCAAGGTACCCGAAATAACTGTTTTCGAACCGAACAGGACTTGGCGTCTCCGTGCAGAGACGATGCTGGATTTTTGGGACTTGGAGACAGGTGTTGTGTCAAAGAAGATGGAGGGTATTGCAAGTGGGTCACCGGGTGCGGCTGGAAATATCACAAGATGGTCAAATAATAGCAAGCAGTGATAAAAAAAAAATACCAAGGCGCTTCGACCGCAGAACTTGATAAACCCATGCATATGCCTAGGTGAGGGGCAGCACATACCTTGAGATGTTGAGATCACTACTTGGTACAGCGAGGATGACAGAAGTGCGTGCCACATCAGATTTAAACTCCGATTAAATCTCGCGTAGATCGGTTTGAGTCATTGATCGGAGAGATAAGATACCACCCCCAATGCCTCACCAGTCACAATGTCAAGCACTCCTCAACCAGATAGATTCTGCTAGCTTAGATGTGGCTATGGCATGGGTTGAACATGCCACACAAGATGATGGTAGTTCAGACTCAGCTATGTCTGATATTAGGACCCCATCCCCTTCATCCCCTATGTCCCCTATGTCCCCCATGTCCCCTATGTCCCCCATGTCCCCCATGTCCCCCATGTCCCCTATGTCCAATGCTTCAGAACATTCTGGCAACTCAAGCGTCAACTCAATCATGATCCATGAGCAATTTGCTCACCTTCTTGGCTCACTTTCTACTCTTCGGGATGAGGTAGAGATGGCCCACGTCCTTCACCGACCTGATGAGCCCCCTATGTGAGCTCCACAGATCCAGCTACTTGATCACTTCACTTCTCATCGCCCCCAGCTATTCCAGAAGAAGTTATGTGTTTCTCCAGAAATATTTGACAATATACTCGATGAGATCATTGATGATCCTATTTTCCATAATCAATCCAACAATCCCCAACTTCCCGTTGCCATCCAACTTGCCATATTTCTTAACCGTGCTGGCCACTATGGCAATGCAATCTCAAATGAGGATGTCTGCCAGCGGGCAGGTGTTAGCATTGGGTCAGTCACCAACTGCACCAATCGTGTCATGATTGCCCTGCTTGCAAAGCATGACAAATTCATATTCTTTCCTACTCTCAACTCTGATGATGCTGGTCATTCCCGGAAGTATGTTCAGGACCATACTTGCCCAGAGTGGTGGAATGGTATCCTAGCTGCTGATGGATCATTGATAAACCTTTGTGACAAGCCAGGTCTCTATGGTGAGACTTTTTATAGTAGGAAGTCTCAGTACTCCCTCAACTGCCAGGTATTTTATTTTATTTTATTTTATTTTACAGCTCTTTCTCTAATTTAAATTCTTTTAGGCGGTTATTATGATCCACAATCTTGCTATAGCAGATTATGCTATCGGTCACACTGGCAGTGCACATGATGCATATGCATTCCGATCTACTCATATTTACCATCATCATGCAACACTTCTTGGAGATCACCATTGGATCTGGGCAGATAGTGACTACCCATTAGAGCCATGGTGCATCCCCCCTTTCAAGAAGCCTGTCAATGGGGCTTTAACCAGTGACCAGAAGGCATTTAACACTGCCCTTTCCAAAGTAAGTGTGTTATTTTATTTTTCCTTGTGTCCATTTATTTTTGGTGATTTAGGTTCGTGTCCAGGTGGAGCATGCATTTGCTGCTCTTAAAAACCGCTTTCAGTCTCTTCGAGAACTTCGACACCCATTGCAGCATGACAAACACCTTATGTATATTTCTTACTGGGTCCAGTGCTGCCTCATCCTTCACAACATGGTGATTTGGTTTGAAGAGCACCGTGGGATCAAGAGCACAACTGAAGAGTCAGCCCTTCAAGCCCATGTACCTGCAGTGGACATAGGCCATGATGTAGATGGGGTGGGTCCTGGAGATACCTCATATCAAGGTACTCCTGGCCACCAAGTTCATGCAAAGTTGATGGACTATTTGTTGAACTGACAAGGCAAATGTATTGGCAATAGGTAGAAAACATAGGAGCAAGCATGTAACAACATATAGGCTCAGGAAGCATGTAAACATATGTACAATGAGTTGTAAAACATACAAGAATGATATGCGAGCACGATACATGAGACGCGAGACACGAGATGCAAGACATGAGACGCGAGACACGAGATGCGAGACACGAGACACAAGATGCGAGACATGAGATGCAAGTGAACAACAAACCACTAGTACAACAGAGTCAGATAAATCAATAATGTTGAAGGACGACAATAACGAAGGCTTACCCTAATCAGCACCTCCCTTCAATTTGATAAGCTCAATTTCGAGCTGAAGGGCGGCTTTTCTCTCAGCATGAACCTTAGCCTGAGCTTTGAGAACTTGAAGGTCAAGAGTCTTGGACTCTTGACAGCGCTGATGTACGACGATGGCCTTGGTGCGTTCGATCTCAGCTTTCTCACGTTGGAAGTCGAGCTCATGTCCCTGACGGAGAGCATTGACCTTGGCGATCTTGTATTCCGACGCTGCTGCCTTCACGGTATATACATATGACATATTGTTGGTTAGCATCTTGACTTGCCCACAGACACCGTCGACCTCCGACCCAACGTTCTTCCCAAGGTGAGATTTTTTTGCACCGCTATCTTTGAGCATGGTGCTTGGTTGGTGTGAGGAGGAAGTCGGCGACAAAAGCCCCAATGATGTAGAGTGTGTGCATGCCGTTGTCCTCATGGAAGACGATGCAATGGATGATGGTGGTTTCGGTGAGTGGATGGGTCCACGGCCCATTGCACAATCGGCGTGGTTTTTGAATGTACCGTGAGACGAGCGATTATGAGTGTGTGTAGGGGGCGGTGAGGGGGAGGAGAGCGGGCGTTTGTTAGAGAGGGATGGCTGGATCGTAAGTCCTTCTTCACGCTCTACTTCTGCCTGATCCTCCTGCATGGTGTCCAGCTACTCCTTGAATCCATCATAATCGGGCTCCTCACCCATGGTGAAGTCGTCGTTGATGACAGGTTCCGTGGTATCATAGGGTAGGTTAGTTTTGACGCTGCACGAAGGATTGGCAGCACTGTCAACACGCTCATCTTCAACATCACAAGTGTTGGGAGCATTGTCAATGACGGCCATCGAATCTTCGATGTAACCGTCAGGATCAGGAGGGGGGGGCTTTTTCTTTTCCTTTGCTTGTTGGTTGGGTGAGGGCCTTAAGGTCCCCTGCACGGTCTGTACCAGGAGCAGACAAGAAGGTTTTGGCAGCATACGCAGGGTTATCCCTCCAGATTTCATCAAGATCCTCATACCACGGGAAGTCATTTAAAACTTGTGCTACAACTAATTTAGTTTCGCCCAATTGTTATTTAAAAAACATACCTAGCAGATTGACTGCAGCGCCAGGATCCTCTGGATTGATTCCAGCCCCTGTCTGCTTGAAGCGCGTATGATTAGTCTTATATTTCCCCTTGAGACTAAATGTAGCATTCAGTGTATATGTACAAAGGGGGGAGGAAGTATATGAAAAACATACTAAGTGAGATGGTTGCCCACGGCCTGCGTGAACTTTGCCTGATCCTCAGCATACATGGACTTATACATCTCATCCTTCTGGAATATATGTTTGGCGATTACTGCGTAGATCTTGCCCTTGTCACTCCCAGAAGGAGGGCCGTCATCATTAGGCTGAGATTTCTTTCCTTCATAAAAAGTACTCGACGGTCAGCAGGATGATTGCGTAGGTATGTTACAAGTGTAGAAGTCCAATCAGCCGTCCCACGTCCCCTTGTACCATGATTAGCCGCGCCCCTTCCCCTAGTACCCGCATGCAGGCTGCATTTGGATAGTTATCGGTGAATTGGTGAGCTTTTGCACTTGGATCTTGAGTCGCTCTGAATGTCGTACTCAAGGGTGTATAGCAGGCATGGTGTACGCATGGACCAACTTCAAATTCAGACTCCACTGGAAGTCTGCCGATGTTCCGTAGAGTGCTGAAAGAATTTGACAGTGTTTCAGAACCTTAATATTTTTACTTTGAATACCATTAATATACAAATTTCCCTTGATATTATGCATGCACTATGTACCCTTCAACTATGAGCTATAATTTCTATACATTATCATCTCACAGCCACATAATGCTATGATATCTTACCCTCACCACATACTGTATGTATTACATATTCTAAACCATATGGTATGGGTGCTATGAAGGCTATGAGTGGTTATCTAATATTAGCTCATGCTATGTAAACTGTGTAACAATAAGTGCTAGAGATATAGCACCAGATTTTTTCTGATGAACCAATTTACTCTGTAAACTAATACTTGTCATGGGAGAAAATATGAATATTAAGCATAACTCACATTCATCCATCCATATGTCTTCATGAGAGTCATGACTGTTATTGACCCTCCAAAACAAAGCCAGTCAGTCAGATACCTGCCCACATCTATTCTTCTTGGTGATTTCCTTGTTTACACTAAGTTGGGTGGCTGAATTTCTTAATAAACATTCCTGAGGGTATCATCATCTACTTCTAGTCTCTAGAGTGCATTCCTTGTCCTCTGATAGCTTCAGACACACTTATATATTTTGATTCAACAACAATGAGCCTCTTGCTTTGACATGGTGTCCACCCACATGGAATCTGTGCTTTGAAAGTGCCAATAGTAAATTATTGCTTTGTGATCCAGAGCTTGCCATAACTTTTCCCAGAAATCATTTGCCTGACCCTGCCATAATTGCAGTTCCTTGGCTTGCAAAGCACCTAGGTCAAGGGCTAAAGCATCTTGGTGATGAATTGAGGATGGCATCCAAATACACATTCCTTCTGCAGCAACTTCCTCACCAGTCTCTTCCTTGGCAACTTCAAGATCTGCAGCTTTATTGCCTTACTCCTCCATATCTGCAGCACAAAATATGATGTCATCCACATGCTCCACACCTGCATCAACTTCAATGCCATCTGACATGGCATCAACTGTTTCATGAAATTTTGAGATCTGTGCTACTACTTTTTGTTGCTTTTCTTCAACCACTGCCTTTTGAGAAGCAGATGCATCTCAGGAAAGCTGCTGAATATCTACCCTCAATGTGTCCCTTGAGCTGAATTGAGATATGCCCTGAATGTGAAAGTGATGTATTGATGTACTATGCATCTTACAAATTGATACCACTGATGAGCCAAGATATTGATCCTAATTTGCCAGTATTGACATATTCTGTTTTGGTCAATGTTAGCCAAATTTCAGCCATTGTCAGGGCTTCCAATCACTGCATCAGAATGTATAGCATATAGAAGCCAGAGGAACTTCTGAATCACTACCTTTATCTATTTTTAGCTGGTATATATCAAGATGCTCTCTGCATTGGTCCATAGCCTGCTTCTCATCTTTCTCCCATGATAAGACTTTGCTGACTTCCAAAGCACATGTAAGCTTTTCAAATGGCACCTTAGTGTCATCAATGCCCTTTTTGGCATGTTTGTACTTTTGTAAGAGTGTCTTAACTGCATACAGCATTCAACCAATATGCAATTGATTCCAAATATAAACACTCACCAATACCAATGATGTTTTCCAATTCAAGTTCCATATGAAATCATCTAGAATTTCTTAAAGGTGGGCTTGGCTCATGGAATGTGCTATTGGAGAGATCTTGTTAAAGGGAGCCCATAGTGTCTCCAGAATTTCCCCATCGACTTGTCCAGCTCCTACAATGAAGTTCAGGCTGTATCTAGCAAAACAAGCAAGCTTATGAGTACTGAGATGAAATTTTCCCACTGCAGCCACAATTTGGGTATCATCAAACCAGTGCAATTGCTGACACATTTTGCAAAGTGAAGACTCCACTGGCAATCCGCATCATAAATTACTAGGAAGTCATCAATTCTGTTGGCAGCATGCTTAATAGCATTGCATACCAAATAATCTATATCCATGTGGCTTGAAGTAATTTTGTCATCAAGTCAGTCCAAATTGATCAGTAGTAAATGAAAGAAAACTCACTGTTTGCCCTTCCAAAAGTCTACTATGCAGTGGGGAACAAAACATCCATGGCAAGCACAAGCTATAGTGCCCACCCCTGTAGCTCCAAGGTTGCTTTGGTTTGTGTTTGCTGCATTGACTGCACAATGGTTGCTATAAGTTAATCTCTTCCAACATATTCAGTGTACTACTAAAAATAAAGACAAGTCAACTGACCTCTTTACTCTCTGTAGCTGAGGCCAAGTGAGCTCAATATTCTCCCTCTGTGACCATATACCCTAAACCAAGAGGAAGATGTCAATTCACATTAACATCTCATCTTGGCATTCATGCAGTTAACATCTGAGCAATGAGTAATCTACATTTTACTTAAATGATTAGTCATATCTTTTGGACAGTTTCAAAATAGCAGTAACCACTAAGTGAATATCTGGACAATAATACAGATGAGTCATAATAAGTTATTTTTCCATATTTCATAGTTGCATAGCTACATGTAAAGTAGTATATAAAGGGGCCTAGTTTCCCTCTGAGCAATAAAATCCCTTTTTAGAGAAAGTGAGAGAAATTGTGTATCTCTCAAAAGCTTCTCACCCCTTAATATTTGTGTGAATATCTGAGTGAATATTAGTTCACTTCTCCACTCTTTTAGTACTGTTTCCCATAATGTACTGACTATCTGAGGCTACCTGAGCCATATTAATTTACTCTAGCTAGTATATAGCTACTGGTTATCTAGTGTAGTTTTACTTCATTCTTTTTATGACACAGAAGATCAATTCTGTAGGGAGAATTCATGTATTTTAATGATTGAGGATAACAAACAGGATCTATACTTTAGTCAACAATATTAAGGACTTGGCCTACTTTAAGCCTACTTTACAGTAACATATTTTGTTCTGATCCTGTGTCATACTCAACATAAGTGCCTAAGCAGTAGAAGGGTTGATTTCAAAGTCACATATTTAATTGATTTGATTATATCTTTTGATCTCCCCTATCAGATTGTGAGAATAAGAAGGATCCAAGAGATATTGGTCTGACTCACTGCTAACTGTCATAACTTACATAATCTTCTATATTTTGCATACTATTGCACCATCTTTCCTGAATATCCTAAGTACATCAAGCTGATTAACAGATACTGTTTCTGAGGTTTCTTAATATCTCTACCTTTTTTAGTCATTGGTAAATTTGCTTATGAGAACCCAACTTTTGTACCCCCACAAATAACCACATTATTAACCATCAGTATTTGTCTAAACTATTGACTATAGTAGGATAGTGAAACTTGGTGATTTTATTGTGTTTTACATCCTAGAAAGACAGTGAGTGATGACTGTGATGTCAACCAAGCTCTCAATATTGATTCTGTTTATTCCTATGCTAGTGAAATTTTCCTATCTCAATATTAGCTACTATAAAGGTTTAAGCACAAAGAGCCTTGCATCTCAGTTTTGTTAAGATACTGAGATGTGTTTTTCCCTACTGTATTCCTACTGTACAATGGACTCACAAAAGGCATAATTACTCTTCTTGTCTAGTGTTCATAACCCTTCCACTAATTATACTCACTACAAATACTACTAATGTCTATAGATAATTGGTTAAGGATCTTCAAGTACAGGAGTGAGTGAAGGTAGATGCTTATTAGACTAAAAGGGCACTGATGATCCATAAGGTTGTATGTGTGAAACAGTAATATGAATAATAACATCAACAATGGCATTCTGTATGCTGGTGCTGACCATAGTCCATGTGATAGTAAGCTGCTGCATATCTGTTTCAAAGCTACAGCTTGCAACTATCCAGCTGTGAGAATAACTGTAATTAGTATCCAAGTCTCAACTAAAGCCATCAGTCAAACCATAGGAAAGCCATGATAACATTAGCTCTAACAGACTTTATCAGTATGCAACTTTGTGGTGCATTGTCTCTTAATCAAACAAAATGCCCATAGTAGCTCCAGACTCTGTCCTTGTGTAATTCTATCTACATTAAACACATCTTCCCACCCTTTGACATCTGGTCAAACAAGTAATCTTCCTTCAAGACTGTTTGCATTAAATAGCTCAGTGCCACCTTCTCAGTTTCCATAAGAAGGCCACAGAATCTGTATTTTTCTTCATGCTGTTCATGAATGTCATAGGTTCTTACTTCATAATAGTTGTTGTATACTCAACCTACATTTTAGGAACTTTGCACAATTCAACTTGTCTATGTAGCATATGAATTCCTATTGCTATCATTGAGAATACAATGAAAATAGCAATATTTCAATCAACTTAGAGAATCAAATAAGGTAAAACACTTGACAAAAGTTGAATTAAACCTGCAAAGATCAAAAAAGAACTTTAAAGTTTTAATAATAAAATTTAAAATATGTAAAGAGAAGCCTAAGAGAGATTTGAAACTTTTATTCTTTACTTAATCTCACTTTTAGATGATGCTACAGGACTCAAAGTCTCAAACCCTCTAAGTTATGCTATTTGCTCCAGTTACCTTCCTTTTTTTCTTGTCCTTGAAGTCCTACCCCTCTTATGCTACTATGCCTACTATCTATAAACATATAAAAACATATAAAATTACTTAGTCATATCAATATATATAATTACACCTTGTTGCTTACTGCCTCTTATTAAGATTTCTGGCACCTGAACTGTTCATTAATCACTTGTAATTAATTATAATAACTAGACATTATCTGAGGAATTGACTTGGTGTTTTTCATTAATGATCTTCCCTTCTCTCACCAGAAGAGTTAATAGCTCTTGATGGACACTGGAATGTATTCTAGGCCACTTCAGTATGAGTGTAAGTGGTGCCATACACACTAATAATAACAGGTAGTATTTATAATCTGCAAAGTTAATGATAGGAGCTCAGATACTTGTGAATACAATTTTGATGTCTATGATAAAAGCTATTGTCATTTGTGATGTTATGACATGTATAATAATCTTTCCTGAGTTCAGAATTATAAGCCATCCATGAAATGCCACCACTGGCTACTGGATGTCCCTTACAGTGATTGTAGACTATATATGTCAGTATTGCTTGTCAAGCAGAACAAATATATATGTCAAGCTTATATCTCTATATGTGCTATTTAGTAAATGATATATTGTAGCTGTTATCTCAGGGTCTTACATTTTAGACCTAGCTCAGTCTATGGCTTATATAATACTAAGAGAAATCTCTTTGATCAAAGTAAAGCAGCTAACATTATCAAACTATCTGTTTAATTACTTGCTTGAATGATATGTAAGAAGTATGTTTGTCTGGTAGCAGTAATAATATGTTAACACTTACATACTACTCCAGCATAAAGTCTACTTTTGTCTAAAAATAGGAGTGATATAGATGTTTGATCAGAAACTACAATTCTATCATTTATAGAAGAAATTATACTATAGCAGCAGTAATATATCACTGGCCCAATCCTTACCTCCTTGCTACCAGTCTAGCAGGCAATGAAGCATTACATAAGCTTCATATAATCATCCAACTCATTTTATGATAGTTCAAGCCACTGGTGTCTTCTTAGATAGATGATCTATAGATGAACACCTATAAAACCAAATATCTTCACAGTCAGTGATTCAGACAAATACCAATGACTGATAATGTAGTCGTTTGTAGGTGGCTGATTAGCAATACCTAAGCTACTGTCAGCAGAAGGTGCCATGTGAGATCAGTAATGTAAGTGATCAATCCAACAATGTTTGGACAACAGAAACAACAAAGGAAACAAGTGTACCTTCCTGTATCAAAGAGATGCCCAATGGAAATCTTACTATAAAGATTCGTGTGAAGCTATAACAGTCACTCCCACAGCACAAACAGGTAGGATCACTGGTCAGGACTAATCAATGCTCAGAGAACTTTCAGTACTATTGAACCTGCTGTCAAGGAACTCACTTTGAGTATTAAACAGAAAACAGGAACAAACATCCTTGGTGTTCAGCACCAAGTTCCCTTTTAATAGCTAAAGCCTTATGGCAATGAAACCCTAGCTCAGTACCACTACTCAGATGTGTGTGGTCAAGTGTACAATTATCAACTTCAAAAGCTCCCCCACTAAGCTATGCAAAGTTTTAGGTAGACTAAGGAGACAACACAAAGAGTTGCAGAAAAATAAAAGAAGAACATGGAAGGGCAGTACCAGGCTTGGTGGTTGTGGAGGATGATGAACTCACACTAATGGTATCTCACAGAAGAGTACCTTCATCAATCTTCAACAGCTTTCACTATTGTTTGGCTTCAGCCACACTTCACACTCAAGAACTGGGGTGCAAATCCTCTTTTTTTTTTATTGAGAGAAGTGGGCTCTTATATAGACAAAAATTAAGGGCCATGCTACCAGTACTTTAAGATTCCTATCAAGTCATCTCTAGTCAGACTGAGTCATATAAGTCATACTGAATCAGGTTGAATCATTGTGAGTCACTTCAGATAGAGGGTTTTCTAAGTTAGCCGAGGAATGAGGCTAACATAGAAGTTAGTCTATGTGTGAATAAGCGATGTGACAGTAACTCTCTTTGTTCTCGTCCACATTCAACACCCATCACCGTAGACGACAGCAGCCTTGACTCTCTTTATTTGCTCATAAGTTAACACTTGGTTCTATGCTAGACAATCCTAACGATGATATCCTGCCTGATTTCACAACAGCTGAATACGAAGGCGCCAGGGCCTGTGTGATAGACAAAGGCATTGCAAACAATATTTTAGCAGCAGAAGCCTTAGAAACCATATGGACTTTGAACAATGATGCAGCTAAGGACACCTGGGCAGACCAAGAAGAGGCAACAGCGAGATGAGCTTACGAAGCCCAACGCATTGCTGAGGAGCAAGAACAAGAACATCAACAAGTGCTCAACGACGAGTTAGCCGCAGCTTGCAAGGAAGAACACAAGAAGAACAAATCCAAGTTTGTACTGGTCGCAGCAGCTAAGGTACCCACCATTCCTGTTGTCATTCCTTCTAATTATGCTGTTCAAAAACTCAAAGCTGGAGACTACTGAGAGCTATACTACTTCACCAACAAAGTCTGAATGAAGTCAAGAAGAACATTCTTTCAATGGAACCTCAGGGCATGATACTGCTCCCAGGAGCATATGGTCAACAGACCTGGGTCAATGCAGATGAAACCCGCAACTCAAAGACCATCATCACCAAAGACAAAAATCTCACCTGGGAAGAACTCAATGAAGCCGCTCCTCGCATGATTACCACTATGCAACAGCATAAATGGCCCGAAGACTATATCAACATGTACATCAGTTTCTGGACAGCCCTTCAGAATCATCGTTGGCGCCACGTCAGTGACATCCTGAAGCAGCAGGCACTCCTACTCTACCAGAGCCAACAATGCAGAATGTGGCACCTCACGGCCGGAGGTCCGCACTGTTGGTCCATAGCAGAACTCAACCAGGAGCTCATCCTAGAAGCTAGAGAAGAGATATTCAATTTAGACCAAGACCAGGCTCTTTCCGCTCTCAAACAGGTGCGGAATCTCTTCTCAACCATTAGTCCCCCGGTAGACATCTAATCTACTTCACACTTTCTTAAAATTCCTAATCTATTCACGCATCATGCATCTCCTTTACCACACTCACTGATTATCACCGTTCGACATCATGCTTGAACAGCAAACCTCCCTTTCCCAACCATCACATGTCTCCCATGGCCAACATGTGCTGCTTCTTACCCTGCATCACGCAGTGTCTTGTTACTTAAGGGTCTTATATACAATGCGTATATAGTGACAACACAACTATACAGGATAAGACTTCTTGCCAGTCCTTAAGTACATGGTCTACAACTTTTCTAGTTTTCATGGTAGATAATGTGCTGAGTTCTTGGGAGGAATATCTTTCAATATTCTCCTTCTTGTTCCTTGGTTAGTTTAAACCTCGTGGTCTCGAAATACTGAGTGTGAAGTTTGTACATGTTTTGGCAAGTGTGTGCCCGTGGATTCATGAAGTGTGTCTTGTAATTCATATCTCCCTTCCTGAAAAAGAGAGAGGAAGTGGTGCTGATGAAATTAGCTAGGTAGCTGTACTTTGTTATATAGTCAACCCCTGTAAGGTAGTATATAACCTGAATATATATTTCTTATTCTTAACTTCAAGGCTGCTGGGTGGCCTGCACTTAGATCTTACTGGTTTTCACACGGTTTGAGAAAAGAGTTTAAAGTGGGAAGCTTAAATTGCATGGGTGAAAATGGGCTCCTTATATACCTTTTGGGAGGCCATCTTACTAAGCATGATTCATCATATAGATTGGTAAGAATGTGCTTACAAACTTGTGTTGAGTCAGCTTGTTTATTAATGTACATACAAAATGAAGTGTAGTATTACAAAGAATGAAAAATGAAAAGCATGAGTCATTACATGGATTGGTAAGAATGTGCTTACCAAACCAAGTCCTTAGGTGTGCTGAATCAGCCTAATGACAAAGTGGATTACATATACAGTTGCAAGTTTTACAAAGCATGACAAATCATGACCAAACATGATGAGTCAAGTTGAATCCTTACAAATCAGAGTATTTCCCAGTCACATGACATGATTACTAACATGTTGGTGGCTTGAGGAAAAGTCTGGTGGCTAAATGTGCCTAGAAAAATAGAAAGTGATAGAATCTCATGGAACAAAATAGAAATACATAGAAAAAATAGGAGTGAAGTTTGAAAGTGAAAATACTAGCTAAGAAATGAATGAAAAATGATAAGGTAACTTGGTGATAGAATCAGTCAGGTGTCTTCTACCTTCCTTGTCCACTGCTGTTGTGTATATGTCATGGTATGGATCACATACCATGCATGACACCGGGTACAGGAAGACCACAACACACATGATCAGTGCAGTAATCCTGCCACATTTCATTGGCAATTTCGTCTCAATGTCATTTTGCTCTCTGCTGCTCTGCTCAGCCAACTCTCCAATGCCATCACCACCATCAAGTGCAAACAAGTCTTCATCATACTCAGCATTAAATACAGAAGGTTCATATCTACATATAAAATTATGGAGCACACATAATGCTGAAGGTATATGAGCCTGAATATCCATATTGTATTCAGGGGGGTAGTTGTAGGATATGCCATTGGTGCTTCAAAATGCCGAAAATGTGCTCGATTATGTTGCGCAGACATGCATGCCAATGGTTGAACAATTCTTTTGGAGTTTGGGACCTGCATGAGCATGTCAGAGACAAACTGCAAAGAGAGAGAAAAAACTTATGCAATGTTGGCTTATCGCCATGCCTTGAGGTGATAGCGGATACCTCAATATGAGACTAACAATGTGTCACATGACCCAAAGCCAGTGTCTGCAAGGAAGTAAACCCCTTCGGGGATGTGCAGGTTATATAGCCATGCATCATGCCAGAGTGAAGCATCAGAAACCGATCCATCTCACCTGCAAAGTGAATAAATGAAGAGAAAGTTGAAGTCACATATGAATAAGCAATTTTGGGAGAGAAATCCCTTGCGGTTTTGCATGGTATCATGGTCTTCATTTGCAGACATCAGCAAAACCCTAACCCTATGTGCAGCATTGTGCAGTGCTGCACAGCAATCACAGTGTCACAGTGAGGTCCCCCCATGTACAGTGCTGCACACTACACAATTTCTCAATAAAACATAATTGTTAGCATACCATATTGTTATATATATGTTTGTGACTACATTACACTCATTTTTACATAGAATAAGTACTTGTGTGATGCTGCAGAGCCTTTACAAAAAACTTTGTATGACCTGTGACACGCTGTGTGGCTGTGGCACTGTAGTCAAATCAGGGTTTTGCTAATGGAGAATACGTAAATGTGGGTGCTGTCAACGGCACCAATACAGTCTCAAAAGTAGTGATATCATGATGGTAAGATGTGCCATTGACACTTCAAAATGCCTAAAATGTGCTCCACTATGCTGCACAAACAGGTGTGCCAATAGTTAAACAGTTCTTTGAGGGTTTTGAGCCTACGTACATAAGCTTGTCAGAGATATTGAACTACATGGAGATAAAATTGACTTATACAACATTTGCTTGACACCATTCCTTGAGGTGATAGTGAACACCACAATATGAGACCAACAGTGTGTTGTATGACCCAAGCCAGCATCTGCAAAGAAGTAAGCCCCTTCAGGGATCTGCAGGTCTTGTTGCTATGCATCATGCTAGAGCAAAGCACCAGAAACTGATCTGTCCCACCTGCAAAGTGAATAAATAAATAAGAAGTCAAAGTTGTATATGAAAAGGCAGTTTTGAGATAGGTATCCCTTCCTGTTTCACATGGTATCATGATCTTCATGTGCAGAGAACACATGAATGTGGATGCTGTCAACTGCACCAATACAGTCTTGGGAGTAGTGGTATCATGGATCATTGTGGATGGTGTTAGAGATGGGTGTGTCCTCTGTAGGGAGCTGAACCTGGGCATTATAGAACATAGCTTCTGAAAAAAGACAAGCAAGTGCCAAAAATATCTAATAAGAGTTCAGACAATCAAAACGATAGGAAATACTAGATTACTTATCTTAAAATAGTATCTGAAGAATGCTGGAATCATTCACCAAGATGATGGGTTGAGAGTCCCATCACACAGGCATATAAAAATATGCCTAGTTGCTCCTCCACTTTTACACCATTGTGAGACTGATTAAACCTGTTGGCTTCAAGGACTTTGAGTAGTGCCTCGAAAATCTCTAAGCTGACACCAAGGTTGTGCTTTATATGATCTGGGTGGCCTGTGAGGAGCTCACAGACCCATGCATGGCTGGTTTGCACTGAAGTGTGGTATGGGATGTGGGGAGTAGGAGATAAGAAGATCAAATGATACATATATACCATTTGGGAGACAGCACAGGTTACAATTATGACCAGACAATGACAGTAAACCTTCTCACACTTCCAGAGAGCGAGAGCGGCATGCTGGTTAGGGTACATGGTGTTGATGCTTATCACTGCACCTTTGATACATATTGCTGGACCTTTTATATCCCTTGATATCCAGGACTCCCAGCAGGTCATGTGATGGTATCACATGATTTCCATTTTTGAGAGCCTAAGTCACAATCGAGTAGAGGGATCTACTGAAAAAGTAGCTTATAAGTTTATCATAAGTGGCAAAAAGTAAAAACATGATTTTATGATGAAGCAGAGGACTCTGAGTAATTGAACTATGATGTGAAAGAAATCAGCAGGTATTTGATTCCATGGGAGGACATCCTAGACACCGAGAGGTCCAGTAGGCTAGTGTTCCATGGATAACCCTCTGAAAGGTTATCCACCAGGCCCAAATGAGGGTCAGTTATCCACCAGTGAGTATGGTGAATATCCACTGCCAGTAAAACCAGCCTGGCGATTCCAGGTGCTGCAAAATTTTACGATCCATGGTGCATTTCACAAAATTTAGCTTGATTTACAAGTATAAATCTATCCTACACTCTGTGTTATGTTTCAGTCTGCTTTAGTTAAGACCTTCTCTTGCACCAAAGTGCTTGCTGGCAGAAGAGCGACGGTGTTCTTCAGTGCTGCAGATGCCAAATCCTTGTCAGCAAGCACATCAACTAGCTTCATGGAGTCAAGATTGATGATACTGGCAGCATCAAAAGCCTCGTCATCAAAAGAATCCACTTTTTTGGAGCCATCTTCAGCTATATCCTTGGGGTCAGTGACATCCAACTCTGAGTTGTTGTTCTCCATGTCTGGCTTGTCAGGTGCTTCATCTGCAAAATCATCATCCACATCAGAATTTTCACTGTCATTGTTGTCTCCCTTCCCTCACTTGCACTTGCCACCAAAAATGGTCAATGACATATCTCACCATTTGACGGTTGGTTTCTTTTTTGGAGGCAGACAATCATCTTTTGGTGGTTACTTTTGAGGTATATATTCACTGAGATAAGCTCCATTAGAGGATCAACCTTTGCACCACCTTTTCCCTTTGCAGGGATCAGTTCAGCATCTCTGTATAGGTGCATGATGGACATGTCAGACTTGATAATCTTGGTCTTTTTCTTATTTGATCCCTTCGGTGAGGGTGAGGAATGATAAGTGAATACTAGGGGGAGTGTGTAGTGAGGCTCTCAAGTGCTCCTCTGGAAGCGAGCAACAGTCGTCCCAAGGGGATTGCTACTGAGAATAGATTCCTCTAATGTAAAGTGAGGGAGATCCAAGACTAGAACTTTGGCCTAGAAAACCTAAGTAGAGCGCTAAAGCCTAAATGTGCTGAAAAGAGTATAAACTGCGTGAAGCGCTTCAAATGTGCTGATGATGTGGCCGCCAAATATAAGGCGCACACTGATAATTGCAAGTGTGGATCAGGAAACTCGAGTGGATTCAAATAATAAGTGGGGCTATGGACTGCGATGCTCATGGAACGGAAGTAAGTATCAAAAACTAATTCTAATGTGTAAGTACCGCTAAGCGCTTTCCCATGGCGCGGAGCCGAGCAAGCGAGTACATACGGTGTGTAACAGCGCATTGTCTTACTACTTAAGGGTCTTATGTACAACGCATGTATAGTGACAACACAACTATACAGGATAAGACTTCTTGCCAGTCCTTAAGTACACGGTCTACGACTTTTCTAGTTTTCATGGTAGATAACGTGTGAGTTCTTGGGAGGGTTTACTGACGTGTCCTCTTCTTGTTGTTCCCTGGTGGAATACTCATAGATTCCCTAATGTTCTGATGAAAAGATCTGTTTCAATCTTGTAGATCGTGTCTCAACCTATGAAAGTCTGTCTCAACTTTGTCATGTTCTCGTGTCTCCCTTCCTGAAAAGAGAGAGTCTGTCTTAAAATACGTGAAGCCTAGTTAGAATGCTGTTCTGGTGTTGTATACTCAACCCCTGTAAGGTAGTACACAACAAGTAATGAAGTCTGTCTTAAATACGTAAAGCCTAGTACGAAAGCTGTTCTGGTGTTGTATACTCAGCCCCTGAAAGGTAGCACACAACAAGTAGTTTATAAATAGATTGTTATATAAGCGACCCCTGTAAGGTAGTATACAACTAATCTCTGATATGATGTTTATCTTACTTCAAGGCACTCTTGGCCTGCACTTTAAGTCTTACGGACTCTCACGGTTTGAGAGAAGAGTGAAAAGTGGGAAGTTATTATTACTCAGTGTAGAATGGGCTCCTTTTATACCTTTTTGGGAGGCCATTTTACTAAGCATGACTCATCACAGCATTAGTAAGTCACTGGCTTACTAACCATGCCATTTGGCAGTGCTGAATCAGCTGCTTACAAAGTAGTTTACAAATAAAGTTCATAACATTACAAAGCATGATAAATCATGACAAAGCATGACAAATCATGACAAATCATGACAAATCAGATTATTGCCTATCACATGACATGCTTACAAACATATCTGGTGGCTCACTGAAGGATTCTGTGGCTGAATGAGCCTGAAACAAATAGAAACAAATGGAAACAAATGGAAGCCACATGACAAATCATGCAGGATCCTTACAAAGCAGAATATTGCCTATCACATGACATGCTTACTAACACATCTTGGTGGCTCACTGGTGGCTGAATAAACCACACAAAAGAAATGAAAAGAAAAGGGGAAAGGTGAGGACTATCATACTGGAAATATAAATACAAGTAAATCTGTCAAAATGGAACCAATCATAATAATACAATGAGGTACACCTTAGTGTACTCTCTGTAGCTACTTCCTGTCTATCAATGTCATGGTATGAGTTCCATACCATGCATGACAGTGCAAGTAAGGGTCCATAATGCGAAGAGTGTCGTATGGCACGGAGATATCATCAGGGTGACTCAAATGAAAGGAAGCACGCACCAATGGACCGGGGAGGACATGGATAGGATGTGCGGAGGACAGGCAACGGGATCCAGTGCGCGAGCGCAAGTGGCCACAAGCGCTCATAGTGCGATGCACCTGTAAGGCGCTGTCCTGCATGATTTGGGAATCATGCATGGACATGACTACTAGGTATCCCCCTAAAAGACAAAGTCTGTTAGCTTAGTCCTCAGACTAGTCAACCCATACCTTGGTATCAAACCTTGGTCCAATAGTTTCAGTTTTCCCTCAGTGATTCATGAATCCACTATGTTTTGAAGAAAGTCATGTGTGAGATGGGAATCACATAATGACCTAGTTGATATGAGAAGCAAATTGAAGGTTAAGATACTGGTTTATTCACTTTGGCTAGAGAAACCCATAGAGAAAAGTTCAAAGCCTAACAAAAACCTATCTAAAAAGCCTGCATATTGTGTACTATTATTTGTTCCATTATTTCTGAGTAGTTTTCTCTAGTGTTTCTTTACTTTACTTTTCTATTAGGATGCTCTGACTAATCAGATGCTTCATAAAATTGTACCTACAGGGTATGATGTCATAATGATGTCATAGTACTTCACACACACTCCTGCAGGTATTCTGTTGAAAGATATGATATCATAGTGATGTCATAATGATGTCATCAATTCCAGAATGTTCCATGGAATTTGCTAGAACATTCCAATGACTCATAATGACCCAGAGTGACTCAGAATGATGTCATTATCCCACCATGAATATTCTGGAATGTTCTTTTGCACCTGCTAGAACATTCTGCTCCAGTTTTTGGGATATTCTTCTCACATTCTGAAGTCATTACATCACCTTTTTACTTACATAATATTCCCATACAAAATGTATATAAGGAGAGCCCATTCTCTCCCAAAAAAATAGATCTCCCACTTGAACCAATTGAACTCTCACCTAAGAAGCTTCAGCCTGAACAGATTGCTGCTTACAAAGCCCATTTCTTTTGTAAGTACTGTCCAGACAAGTGCAGGGAAAGTGTATCCCTTGAGATTATGTAATTTTCTCACAATAGAAACCCAGTTTTGTGAGACCAGCATTCTCACCATGTAGTGTTTACTGACTAACACAAGCTTTGGTCATCATTGTTATTTGTGAGACCAGTGTTCTCACCAGGTATTTGTATATTGACCAACACGAGCTTTGGTCATTGTAGTCACATTTGAGACCAGCTTCTCAACAGTTAATCGTATATTCAGGAAACCAGTTCAAGTGTCTAGACGGTATATCCTAGACAATCCCATAGTTTCAATCAGAGATAATAAAGCTCCGGCTAAGTTAATCTAACTGATTGGTTTAGCGAGCCTCCCAAGAACTCACACATTATCTACTACGAAAGAAGAAAAGTCGTAGACCGTGTTAATCGAGGACTGGCAAGAAGTCTTATCAAGTGTAATTGTGGTGTCATTACATTCTTACATGTATTTATATAAGACCCTTGGTTATTAAGACAGTGTGTGCTTCCTTAACTGTGTGAGGGTGCCTATAGAGGAGAGGGGAAAATGCTAGAAGTGCGCATGTAGGGGCGCGAGCCTCTACATTGGTCTGTTGATTGGGGGGCTGTTAGGTGTTTGCAACCCACTCGACACAAACTCTATGTCCAGATGGTCATTCGACTGATGCAAGGACTTCAGTAACTGCATAGCAGGTCAGTAATTCAGTTTCACCTGCAAGAAAAGCAAATCTAATTTACAGCCTTTCCAGCTGCTACAATAAGGCCTTGTGCAGCTTCAAGGGTGTCATCCACCCACTTCTCGAGGATAATATCCCCTGGATATTTTTCATTCCATGTTTCAAACACATCCACTACAGCTTCTATCTCCAGACCTCACTCAACATGTTTTAGGCCATCAACCTGATTGCCAAACCTAACCTCTAGCTCTCGATTGACAGCATCAACCTCGCTGATGTCTGCAGTCCAATCAGCATCCAGGCTGAAGTTGGAGAAATTGTACTTGGACTCCTTTGGAATGGGAATGTCTGTTGGCAGTACCTTGAGACAGAGTCGAAGCTCAACTAATCGATCTCTGAGATGCAGCTGCATGTAATGAGGGAGAAAACTTGAAAGTTCACAATATTTCAGTCATTTTTCAAGTTGATGTTCAACCAAACAAACATTGACTTGACGTCACATGAAGTTCTGCCAAAATAAGTAAGCTTAAATCCTAGTTCGAGCTCGCTTCGAGCAGAAACAAGCTTGTAGACCCGGTATTTAAGCTTTTTAAGTGTATTTAATGTCTATTTAATACAACCCCATACACCCACACGATTTTCAGTTATCCACGTTATCCACCTATGCATTTTGGCCTTGGGTTATCCACCGAGTTATTCACGTGGATAACTGGGTGGATATCCACATCGGTGGATAACCAGGTGGATTTCCACGGAACACTACAGTAGGCAGAGTGTGTTGACGCCGTGTCAGGGGTCGCGGCAGTTGCCGTGCCAGGGGTCGTAGTATTTTCAGAATCACGATCGGTTCAAGTATTATGATATATGACGCGTGACAAGCCAATTGCAAAATTGAATTGTATGTAACCAGAACCCAATTGAACCATATTATTATTTTTCATATCCTCCATGTACGAGGACGAGACTATCCAAGTTACCCTCAAGTATGACGGGGCTAAGGGCGGGCGACTGATATCTGGGATGACAAGTAAAACCAAGGCCCTTCACGACCTTCTAGCAGATCTCAATATTCTCAGAGCACATCGTCCAAAAGGTGAAAATATCCGTCAGGAAGGTGCTGCGTTCTTCTTATTATGGCCTCACCCTGTTCATGCGCCAATCCCTCTGGTTGAGGTATGTCCTAAGTATTGTCTTGCACTGTGGACTACGGTTGATATGCTCTCAGGGCACTTTGTACAAACGATGGGTGTCCATTTCCAGGGGGAGTCCAGAGCTGGATGCGGTCAAAAAAGAGCTCTCCATGTAAGCACCTTCATAGAAACACGTGTACACGAATAAAACTCAGCCACGACCCCATCTGTAAAGCGAATCGGTGACTGTTAAAATGTGAGGGCATCCGCATACAAACGACGTCTATTGAAGGACCATCTTCTAGACTACCGTCCATCTTGCTTGCAGGAACACGCGGAGCAAATCTGTCACCATTGGGACCAAAACATACAATAGAGCTGCCGCGGACAGAAGGAATGAGTCCGCTCGCAGAAAATTTTCCATTATCTTCTACGTCAGACCGTTCTGATTTACAGAAGCCAGCGTTCACCACGGAAGTAGTTCAAGGGAAGAGACCTCGAAGTGATGTGGGTGCTGCGATCTATCTACCGTTCCTATAAACTAACGTTTCGAAGTCCATCAATGAGCAAAGTGTTCTATCACCACCTTTTGGGTCAGATGGTAATAACGTGCCCTCCTCGACTCCTTTGTTGAAGAGAATTCGAACCGAACAGCACCTCCCCATTCAGAACAGTACAGCAGAAGGGAAGCATACTCTCGACGGCTTTTCAACTGGAGAATACCGAACCACTCAAGCAGGCGACAAAATTCCTCAGTCCAGATACCCGATATCCCGGGTGCCACTTAAAACCACCCCTCAACAGCCATTACTCATTCCTCCATATCACACCAAACCCTTTCCAGGATCACCCGGCGTGAGCAATAGCTCCACTCCTACTGGCCCCCGCCCACCAGGAGATAGAGGGACTATCAACAGACTATCGCTCGAGCTGTCAAAGGTCCGCAGTCAGCTAACTACCTTGAAACATTGTGAGAAAGGGATATCGGAAGAGCTTATTCGTCTTGGTGTTCCCCAGCCGAAGAATGAAGAAAACAGTACCCTCCTCGCATGGTCTCGTACATCAGCAGTTCGATATGCACGTAGCTGACTCATCTGACTTCCTGTAGATATGGAGGCGCGACTGATACTGCTTGAAATCGAGTTGCAGCAGGAAAGGACACAGCGTCTCCATGCTGAACGTATGCTCAGTGAAGTAGAGAGGGAGTGCAGGGTTCCGTTTGTGGTGCCGGCGTTGTTCCAGGCGTTCTCCAGAATATCAGAGCTTGGGCACCATGAACAAACCAAGGCAAGTGCGCTGTACGATTAAGACACCTGTCTAACCCGTTGTCAAAGTGACGAGTACCTTCTTGCATATGTGCATCTCCAGGGTCATCGCCCGAGTTCAGGTTTTGTACTCAACCGGCCCTCGAAACTCTTTATACGTCATTTTCAAATCACCATTTCTAGTGGGTGGTAAAGTGCACACAGGCGCTCACCTTGGATATTACAAACTAATTAGGTATATTATCGCTTAGATTTTATGTATGTTCACAGCTGAGGGTGGATGAAGGCTCCTTTCAGCTATGTTTTGAGGGTACAAGGACTCCAGCATGAACTCATATTGGGTATCCTCAGCCACAAATACGTTTGAAGAACGTTGATACAATTTTGAGCCAAAGCGTATCAACGTCCTCCGAAGCTTTTGAGCTGATGGGCCCTGTGAGTACAACATCAAACAAAGGGGACTCCAAAGTGCGTAAACGATTTCTGATTCGAGTGTCCTGCTCACCAGACTACTACGATCATGTTGTCTAGCACTTTCCGATGAGGAAAGCAATCACTGTGATCAAAGTGAACATTTTCACACAGATTCTTCTCAAAGTGGGCAGCTGTGAGACGGGCCGCCGGGTAGCAACCAGCGGCATCTGCGGCCGGCTAATAGCGAGATGCCGTTGTGTAAATGAAGGGCCGTCGACATGAAGGCGTGTGTTGGTGCAGAGCGATCGTGATGGTTTGGTACTCGAGGGAGAGATCACATTGTCCAGAGGGGGCTCCCGAACGTGGCGCAGTCTATACCAGGTCTCGAAAATATTTGATCCTTCTAAATCCCTGGGCGCTGTTAATTCGTCCCAGCTCTGAAAGTTTCCGTTGAATATTTCATGAGATCCAAAAATTACCACCGTGATGATGCATCGTATGATGGAATGCCTAGGCCTTCGCCACATTGAGATGTGCACGTGATCTGTGGGATGTCGCGAAGTGCACCCGCAGAAACCTGACAGAAACCTTACCACCGTAATTCAAGAATATCACGGACTACGCCAGGATCTTCCGAGATAACATAGGATGGAAGTAAAAGGTATGAACAATCGCACTCTAGCAATTTCATTTCGAATTTATAAGGCGACTTGACAGATTCTTCCGCTCCTGTGCTGGGCTTGTCATCCACACCAACACCCCCTTCAATGGCTCCTACTACATTCGAGATCTCAACAGAAATAGCATCGGGTCCTTCTTCATCCACTTCTCCAGCCGTCCTTCAGAAATGCACTCGCTGTGCCTACATGGGCCCTGTCGACTCATACCCACCCCGACGTACTGGTATAGGCCACCTCAAAGTATGCATCGGCTGTATGGACAAACAAGTAGCACGGAAGTCCGCTGCCACTGTCGACCCATCTGGCTGTGGGCAGATTGCCACCGCGGCGATGAGCTTGGATGACTTCTTGAAACTCGTTACATTGAACAAAGGTCGACCATTCGACTTTGATACCATGGTGAATCTACCGGCAGGCATGTTTGCAGCTGGGGAACATTTGTATAATCGGACGAACAAGATTAGAGATTTTCTTGCAGAAGCATCAGAATATCACTGGAAGTGCGTTGTCTACCGTCATGCACTGGAGCAGTTCTTACAAGACATCTTTCATACAGCCAAAAGAAAACAAAGCGCGGTGGAAAATCGACGGTCGTCACATACTTCTGTGCCCAGCTTGAAGGAGAGCAATCAAAGTCGCGAAACCAAGATGCCGATCGCGCCAAGTCACGTTCTCGCATCACCCGTTATCATTGTGGAGGCTGGCTACGTATAACAACGATGGATGATAACGAGCTTCTTCTTCGCATTCGTATGACACATGCTGAAGCGCACCCAAGTTTCCCTGCATCGTTTCGCAAGTCGCAGTCGGGAGAATTCAAGATGGAAACTACACCAAAACCAGTTCCAAAACAACCTTTGTTTACAACGGCGCCGATGACAGTACCTATTGGAGTTACTGAAGTGCCTCAAATAATACCAAGGGACGAAGTGGGCCCAGAAGAAGATGGCATGGTACCCATTTTAGAGCAGCCACAGGGGAACGGAGGACCACCTCCAAGCATCGTACGTCGAGAAAGATTTTGGCAGGCATTCTCTAATGATTCACTTCTACTACAGCCTGAGGTTTATTTCTCACCAGATCAACTTGCTGGGCTGAGACGAAAATTTGATGCTATGATGAGCATAGCATCTGGCCCTTGTCATCCTGACCTAGCTCACGCTTTAGGGTCCGTATTCGACCACTTGGATCGTACGGTGGGCGACATAGAGGTTGGGAGATTTGCGAAGAGGCAGAGGATTTCATAAACTTTTCCTCGCTTGGTCAATCACCAGATGATCCCACTGGAGACCTGCTTCGGGCCAATGGCCCATATGGGTCTCCGAGTCTGTCCCTTGCGGCAGAGCTGAGGGTTCTTGCCGACCCGTGATGCAGCGAATGGTATGACATCACCTAATGTCAGATTAATTTGAACAACCATGGACTGCAAAATTGGGGGCAATATGAATTTAGCAGGCGTTTTATCTGTCATACGTCATGCATAGCTGCAATCCTAATCTTTCGTTGTGGGTTGCTAGTCACAAGCCAGTCATGTAGAGATCACACCAGACAATGAGCGTTACCAGCTCCTGGCCAATCAATGTCCGATACCCGATACATCAAACACCACGATGGTATTTCCAAAACTCTTATGATTTTTTTCACGAACTTTACAGCGTATACGTGACATATTCTTTGCATTTCGGTCGAACAGTAGGTGGCTCACACTTAGCCATTCCATCAACATCATGCACGCATATAGTGAGCGTACTCGTGAGCCAGTGAAAGGGGCTCATTTTCCCTGACATTTGCTGGGCATGGTCTGTAAATTTCAGTTCCTGGTAGTCTCCCCTAGCCAGATCATAGAGAAGGGAGACAGTCGTTCATAAGTTCCTCGTATATAAGGAGGAAATGAAGTGTGGATACCATGTTCACGATAATGCACCTTTTAGCTTTCTCGATCGAGACCAAAAAAAACGAATCAAGTACATTAAACCTACTCATCTACATCCTGTATTCATGACGTTTACCCTATATATACATGGCTGTGTGATGTTCATCGGTTCATAGATTCACGTCCCGGATTACGTCCTGCCATTCATCAAGATGCTTCAACATCACCATGCATTTGTTTCTGATATCTCTCTCTGCATCCTCTCCCAAGGCGAGATACAACGGCCACTCCCTCCCAGCCGCAACGCCTTCTCCCCTTACGACGTCTACGACGAATTTCATTGCCTTCATGGGGTCTCCTGGTTGCCTGCCAGGGATAGCCCCATACCTCACCGCTGTCTCAGCTCGTGTTTCATCATAATCAGGTATAGGATTCGTCCACGTGTCAAATTTATTGCTATATATGTTTTCGGTGCGGAAGGCGCCAGGCTCAACGATCAGGACGCGTATGTTGAATGGTGCAAGCTCTACGGCAAGTGTTTCGCCCATTACTGCAAATATTTTCAGTTGATGAACGATGTGACGTGTATGTATTCAACGCGACTTACCCTGCACAGCTGCCTTCGATGAGGCATAAGCGCCTGCCAGCCGTAGTATTGGTCATCCACGGAAGAACTTAAAAGGCGTAACTCACCAAGTCCCTGAAACAGACGTTGTTCAACCACTGTCGACCATAGATAACGCTACTCACCGTGATTTCAGGCCTCCAGGCACTACGACTCCCGATAATAACTAGTGTACCACTCTTCCCTGCAGGGCTCAGAGCGCGTGTTACAAACACATCTTCGGAAACTTACTTTCACGCATGTATGGTAATACTGCATTCGTGACGTCCAGCACACCGAAGACATTAGTTCGGAATTGTCTTGTCATCATGTCCACTCTGAAACCGATAACATGCATTAGGCACGGGAAAAAAAGACATGTTTGTGTCCTACCCGCATTCCTCGAGGAGTCCCAGCAGCCCAATACCCGCATTGTTCACCAACACGTCAATTCTGCCCCACACCTTAGCCGCCTCATCCACCCGTTCCTTGATGACAGTTATTCCAGAAGTTACATCGAGCTCTAGGAGGTGTAGGTTCGGAGATTGGGGGAAATCTTGGATTTTCTGCAGAGATCGGGCCGTCGCGACTACACGATCACCGCGTTCTAGAACGATTGATACTAGACGGCGACCAAAGCCTGATGATGTACCTAGATGATCGGTGTAAGTTACTACTATCTCTGGAATTTGATATGCGCCACAGGAAATGAGGATACTCACCTGTGATTAGCCATACTTGAGGGTCAGACATAAGTACTTAAGTACTGAATGAGTCACGCTGCGCAGTGAATAGACGTTTGGTAAGACCTTATTCTCCTGTGGCCTTGGTTATTAATACATAGCTTGTGAACTAGTTGACCCGTGTGCTTTCATCGATAACGGCGGAATCATAAAAATAATGCATCACGGTATAACTGAGTTGATATTGATGAGTCCTTGATATTATGAGCTTAGACTCGTGACCAGCCCGTCTAGACAGACTGGTAAAACTGGGTTTGAATTTGGATGTCGAGCGGATTCGCAGGATAACGTGACTTCTGGCCAATGAAAGAATGTGAATTTTTCAACGTAATACAAAATCAATGCTTATAACTTTCGCTATGTTGACGTGACGTGCGCACTGCGCCTCATAGACGGGCTGATCACGAGTCTAGTTTTCTATGGAGAATTCCCCAATAAGCGTATCCTTAGGTGTTTTCACCTGGCCTTCTAGAGCGCTCATCTTTCATCCGCTTCAGTCTAGCTTCATCAGGATCCCCCTTTCCCTTCTCGAGCTTTATGAGATCTCCGAGCTCTTCTTTCCACCAGGTGCTCAGGAGTGGCGTGACAGCAGAGTTGTTGTTTGTCCACCGAAGAACGCGTAGCGCACCCGCAGACCTGTGAAGAGGCAGAGGATTTCATAAACTTTCCCTCATCTGTTCCTTGAGGCAGAGATGAGGGTTCTTGCCGACCCGCGATGCAGCGAATGGTACGCCGTCACCTAATGTCAGATTAATTTGAACAATCATGTACTGCAAAATTGGGGGCAATATGAATTTAGGAGGCGTCATGCACAGCTGCAATCTGATTCCTAATCTTTCGTTGTGGGTTGCTAGTCACAAGCCAGTTATACAGAAATCACACCAGACAATAAGCATTACCAGCTCCTGATCAATCAATGACCAATACATCAAACACCACGATGGTATGTCAAAAACTCTTGTAATTTTTTCACGAACTTGACAGCGCATGCGTGACTTATTCTTTGCGTCTCAGTCGAAGAGTAGGTGGCTCACACTTAGCTATTCCATAAATTGAAGTAGTCATCACGCACGCATATAGTGAGCGTGCTCGTGAGCCAGTTTTGGCATGTGAAAGGGGCTCACTTTCCCTGACATTTGCTGACGATGGTCCGTATATTTTCAGCTCCTGGTAGTCTCCTAGCCAGATCATAAAGAAGGAAGAGGTTCACGACAATGCACCTTTTTTCTTCCTCGAGACCAAAAAAGAATCAAGTGCACATCTCCATCCTGTATTCATAATGATTACCCTATACATAGTTTGTGTGATATTGATCGGTTCATAGATTCACGTCCCGGATTACGTCCTGCCATTCATCAAGATGCTTCAACATCATCATGCATTTGTTTCTGACATCCCTCTCTGCATCCTCTCCCAAGACGAGATACAACGGCCACTCCCTTCCAGCTGCAACACCTTCTCCTCTTACGACGTCTACGACGAATTTCATTGCCTTCATGGGATCTCCTGGTTGATTTCCAGGGGTAGCCTCATGCCTCGCCTCTGCCTTGGTTCGTGTTTCATCATAATCAGGTATAGGATTCGTCCACGTGTCAAATTTATTGCTGCATATGTTTTCGGTGCGGAAGGCGCCAGGCTCGACGATTAAGACGCGTATGTTGAATGGTGCGAGTTCCACGGCAAGTGTTTCGCCCATTACTGCAGGAATTTTCAGTCGATGAACGATGTAACGTGTACACGCGACTTACCCCGCACAGCTGCCTTTGATGAGGCATAAGCGCCTGCCAGCCGTAGCATGGTCAACCACGGAAGATCTTAAAAGGCGCAACTCACCAAGTCCCTGAAACAGACGTTGTTTAACCACTATCGACCATGGATAACGCTACTTACCGTGAGTTCAGGCCTCCAGGCGCTACGACTCCCGATAATGACTACTGTACCACTCTTCCCTGCAGAGCTCAAAGCGCGTGTTACATACACATTCCCGGAAACTTACTTTCACGCATGTATGGTAATGCTGCATTCGTGACGTCCAGCACACCGAAGACATTAGGGCGGAATTGTCTTATCATCCTGTCTGCCCTTAGACCGATAACATACATTAGGCACGGGAAAAAAGACATGTTTGTGTCCTACCCGCATTCCTCGAGGAGTCCCAGCAGCCCAATACCCGCATTGTTCACCAACACGTCAATCCTGCCCCACACCTTAGCCGCCTCATCCACCCGTTCCTTGATGACAGTTATTCCAGAAGTCACATCGAGCTCTAGGAGGTGCAAGTTCGGAGATTGGGGGAAATCTTGTATTGTCTGCAGAGATCGGGCCGTCGCGACTACACGATCACCGCGTTCTAGAACGATTGATACTAGACGGCGACCAAAGCCTGATGATGTACCTATATGATCGGCGTAAGTTACTGCTATCTCTGGAATTTGATATGCGCCAACGCGGCCACAGGAAATAAGGATACTCACCTGTGATTAGCCATACTTGAGGGTCAGACATAAGTACAATAAGTCACGATGCGCAGTGAATAGACGTTTGGTAAGACCTTATTCTTCTGTGGCCTTGGTTATTAATACGCAGCTTGTGAACTAGTTGACCCGTGTGCTTTCATCGATAACGGCGGGATCATAAAAATAATGCATCACGGCATCAGTGGATTGATATCGATGAGTCCTTGATATTATGGCCGTGAGAGCTGTAGGATTAAATTCTGCTTGCCTCTCCCGGGCCGCTCCAAACCCGCTGCCACAGATACATATGGCATCCCCCAATGATCAAAACACAGCGAGTCTTATACTGTTATCAGCCTTCGGTAGGTGACCCAACATAAGATATGACAGTTGATGATACTGTGGTCAATTTAAGCGGGATAAGTCAATACGAGAAAGGGACAGAACACATCAAGACAGCACTCGAGGGCTACTTTCCGCCCTTCTTGGCAGCTTTGCGCTCCCTCCTCTTTCTACCGATGACTGCGCCGATGCTCTGACTACCATTACCATGTTCTTCTTTCACAGGCTTCGCTGGCGGTTCATCAGCCACAACGCGTCGTTTCTTCATAGGCGGTTCTTGAGATGTTTCACCGTGGCTTTTTGGGACGCGTGTCTAAATCTAAGTCAGAAATAGTGATCATAGAAGTAAATCATACATACAAATGCTGTCGGTTTTTCCTTGTTCTGGTTCGCTCTTCGCTGGACGACCTGCACGTTTTCTATGGAGAATTCCACAATAAGCGTACCCTTAGGTGTTTTCACCTGGCCTTCTAGCTCATCTTTCATCCGCTTCAGTCTAGCTTCATCAGACTCCCCCTTTCCCTTCTCGAGCTTGATGAGATCTCCGAGCTCTTCTTTCCACCAGGTGCTCAGAAGTGGCGTAACAGCAGGGTTGTTGTTGGCCCATCGAAGAACGCGTAGCGCATCCGCATGCCGCGGCATCTCGATGAATCCGTAACCTTTGCTGCGACCTTTTCCTGTGACAGGATCTACTCGTTCATGTTGACGCACGATTTTGGCTTGCTGGACTTTGGATTTGCTTCCCTGCGATCGTTTCCCAACCTTCGGTTTCGTGCTAGAGTCGTCTGGTTCATCGGATTCCTTGGTAGCTTCTTCCAGCTCCTCGGGAGTCAAACCGTTGCGTTCTCCCTTTTGGACTTCATCTTTGAATGTACGAAGAGCGTGGAGGGCGAGGCGTTTGAGAGTCCGCTCAGTGACGAATAGGGGTATCTGGCGAACGCTGAGTCGGGTCTTCGATACGTATAAGGAAGGATTTGTCCGCAACATCGTGCGGCGGGCAGTGAATGAATTTGTCCGCTTCTCCAGTTCAATGGGTGGTATGGTGCTGGCTGCTGGCGTATTGGGCAAGATGACTGGAGAATTCTGGTTTACAAAGATAAGAGGGATGACAATAAAATCAACCTTACCTCCTTCACGCAACAAGTAAAGATTTCTTTTGTCTGCCTTTTCTCGTCTTCTCTCGCCTTCATCCTTCAGTTTACCTGCTTGATCCCGCGTGACAGCTCTCACGACGTCCAAAGTGCGACCATGAAGTACAAGACTTTTAGCTACGCCTGAAGATGGGTCAGGTGTTAAGATCGACGGCAGGGTAAATGGGTTTTTTGTTGGCTGAGAGGTGTCAGAGATACATCGCACATTGGAGAATGAGACGTACTTGCTGCGAGCCCATGGTTTCGGCGCGCAATATCTCGCTTTGCTCAATCACCTTGTCGGCGACCTCTTTATTCCAGAAGCAAACGAAACCGGTGCCTCGCGAACGTTCGGTGCCTGGTTCGACGGTAATTCGAGCGTACCGCAGAGCCCCAAATGTACGGAATCTACACCATGAAGTATTAGCGCACACGGGTGGTGGGGGAAGGTACACGTACAGTGCCCGTAGTTCGTCTTCTGTAGCAATAAAGGGGATATTGCGGATGAAGAGTGTGGTACCTGTGTCCGTTTGAGGTAGCTGAAGTTTCATGGGACGTTGATGATGTTCAACACTTATGGCTTCTTTCTCGTCGTCATCTTCGATGTCTTCGTCCTCGTCCTCGTCCTCGTCCTCGTCGCTGTGCTCGTCTTCATGAAGACCCAACTGCCCCTCTTCGTCTTCAGCACCACTTGGCTCAGCTTCATTATGTTCAACGTCGACCATCTTGACATCACCCTCTTCAACATCATCTGATTCGGCGTCACTCTCATTGACCTCTTCAAGCTTCGCCTTTTCCTCCTGCTTTTGTACTTCCTGCTCGCGTTTTTTTGTCTCCTGCTTTATCACTTTCTGCGGTTTCACCTCTTGATTTCTCGCCTCTCGCTTCTTCTCCTTTGTAACGTGCTCCTTCGAGCTTCTAAACTTATCTTTTTCAACGCGCTCCTTCGAGCTTTCAAATTTGTCCTTGTCCTACACTCCACCCATAAGAAACCCATCCACGGATAAACGACAACGAAACACACCATCTTCTTATCCGCCCATTTGACCCTCAACTTCCTCCCGTTGATCTCGATCCCCTCAGTCGACGCGGTATCGAAAGCAGTCTGCGCATCCTCCTTGATAGAAAAGGATACATAACCAAAACCTTTGGATTCCCCAGATCCTTTCTTGGATACGACAAAAGCGTAGCGCACGGGTGCTAGGTCTGAGAATGTTGTTTGTAGGTCGGTGGATGTTGCATCGTAAGGGAGGTTGGATACGAATAGTGTGGACCTGACAAAGTGCAATGTTATGTTGTGTGGTTTGATGAGCAAGTATTGACTTACCCGTGTGGTAGTGAGGGTTGTGCGTCTTCTTCTCTTTGCCTGCGTTTCCCGAGTGATGTCGCCATGTAGATCTAGAGCACTGGTAAGTTCCCTACTTACAATTTTGAAGGCGTTGTTTGTATATGTTAGGATGAGAGGCCTTTGCCAATCAGGACCAAACTCATGTTAGGTCGACCAAAGTCAACCGTTCATATTCGTTTTTCGACACTACTAGCACTATGGACCATACGCATCTGTTGTGATTGGCCGAGGTTTTTAGTAGCCTGAAACTCGAAACTTCCACAAATCATAACAGATACATCATAAAATGGAGATGGAGGAGCCTGATTGTTGTCTCCCCGTGAGTTATGACCTTACTTTCTATCATCTAACTCAGACTCTCAGATTGCCACCATTCTCAGTCTATGGGATCACTCGATCAATGTGCATGCGACTGCTTCCCGTCATCTCACTGCAGTCCCATTTCCAATATTGTTGAACCTTCCTTACTACCATCAAGTGCACCGAATATTGATTGCGATCGTCTGATACTGTTTTGCCAAGTTCACAATCCGTGGCGTATTCACAACGATCCGCCCATCTTCTCACCATGTGCAATATCGTCTGATACTGATCTTGATATGAAACCATCGCCCAGCTTTAGAAGCCCATCATCATCAATTCTAGAATCACGATCGCGGTGAACTGCCACATTGCATACTATGGGCACTCATTATGGATACGAGACCAAGTCCCCGATGCTCATCGAGACATCTCTTTCACATAAACGGCGAGTCGATCCCGACGCACGATGGCAACACCCATCCGCATCGCGAAGAGAACTCTGATCCAACTCCTATTATATTATTAGAAGGAGGCGCGATCAGCCATATGCGCATGCAAGTATGAAGCCGATAATAGCACAAAGATGCGGCGAGCTCGGGTACCCCCTTCTTAGCGATGTCGCGTTTCCTATCTTGTCTCGCAGGATCGTACATCATGCATATGGGTGACCGCTTCATATGCAGAACTGTCTCAGAGACGGGGCCTTTCGTGAGTAGATGTTCGCCTACCTTTCTAAGCGAGCTGACTATGTGCTTGTTCCACATGTTTCGGTGGGAGTAGTGTCGTGTGATTTTGACAATGCACATGCACGTGGGTGTTTCCGTTTCTTGGGAACATGCGGGACGGAGAAGATGATGGCTTGGGAGAACTTCTTGTGTTATTATCGAAGTGCATAAGTGAGCCATCAATATCAGTGTTCAATGAGTCACTGGATATTCATCGTGATGATCATCCCTCTGCTATTATCAAGCTCAATCAGATTTCGTGCGCGAAGGCGGGATATCGACACTGGAAGCTAATTAATTACATTCCTTAGGCGAACTCAGCCAAGTGTATAGGACGGCATCCGCAATGGATCTGAAAGGCTATTAGGATAAGTAGTCCATTACTTACGCTTGTACATTGTACATCTAAACCTGGCCAGGTACAGAGACCGAAACTTGGAAGAAGAACTTACGGCGATGGATGCCCATGAGTTATTCGAAGCCAGGCAATGATATCCTTGGTAGGTGACTGCGTTTGTTCCATATACGTCGGTGTGCGGTGGCGTCCTGCAATGCGTGTGATTGTGGTAATGCACATTGCACATGGTCGTGGATGTTTCTCGGGCATACCGAACAGGGGAGGCGACCCGATAACATGGGCTGCGAATTAGTATCGAAGTGTACAAGCCAACAGTCAACGATCAGAGAAACGAGCGATTAAATTGGATATACATCGAGGTAATCCCTCGAGGCATCAAGTTCAATTAGATTTCTTGCGCGAAGGCGGGATATCGACAAGTACTGGCGAAGCTCATTAATTCCATTTCTTATGTTATCCCAGCCTTGTACATGGGACGGCATCCGCAGTTGATCTGAAAGGTTATCAGTTAGACCTAATACTTGGACATACTGCATCCGAACCTGACCAGGTACTATATAAGACCTTTGATCTTCGCCCGAAGCACGCACTTCTGGAAGAAACCTCAATTGTTGCGATGGACAAGGACGAAGAAGGATGTCCTGGGTTCAGGTGGCTATATGCTTAGATGTAGCGTATGATGACGATGTACATGTGTGTTCTCGTCAGCCCGTGGAACGAGGAGGCCATCAAAACAAGATCCGACAACCCAGGCTGCTAAAACTTCCTATGTTAGTATCGAAGCGCAAACCCAGCAATCAATGAAACGAAAACAAGCGACTGAATTGAATATTGAGCATTCGTATTCGTCAGGACGATCCCCCTGTTATCCTCGAGCTCAATTAGATTTCGCGCGCATCAAGCTCCATTATATTAGATGTTGTGCGCGCGAAGGCGGGATATCGACGTTGGCGCTGAAGATAGTGAATCCCTTCGCGCGCTCAGTCCCGTAGAACGGTGTCCGCATTAGATCTGAAAGGTTATCAGGATAAACGTTAACGCATAGATATCATACATCCAAACCTGACCAGGTACGAACCTTGAGCGCTAGCTTGATCTTCGCCCGAACCTTAGGCACAATAGAAGAAGACTCATTAAAATTCCGATGGACGAAGGCGGAGAAGGATGTTCCGGCCATCTAGAGCGGGTTATCGAGGGCCAAATGCCAGGCGCCAAGTACCCATACCAAACCCAAGAGCCAGTCTATCCAAACGAGGTTCTTCGGGTAGAAGACGCTCGATGATTAATACATGCATATCGATCTTGGGGAGGAATCACAATCACAATCACATGATCGAGCTCGAGATTAGATGAGTGCTTCGATGTATAAGACGTCTTGACGATGCGTACGTAGGTGGTCGCGAAGATCGTTGATCGTCTATTCGGTATAACGTAATTGCCATTCAGTCATAATACATAATGAAGCGTACCCCGCCATCGCGTCGTAAGCCCATCTCGCAAGACGTTTCATTTTGAGAGTAATGGCCTGTCGATGCCCTAGATACATCGACATCGTAACTTCCGATCAAAACGGTTTATTTGTTGATGCATGTCGGGAACTGCCTTTTGGGTGGGGCTTGGAGGGACAGGAACGGACTCGGGATTGGAGTTGTTCCGAAATGATGATCAAAGGGACAAACGAGGGTGTCATCATCAATATTGCAATCATTGCAGCACAGGATACATAGCTAAATTGCGTTCCGAAGTTGTTCAAATTGTTTTTTGTCGGATTGGTGGAATGCGTACGTGACTAGAATCTTCATCTGGTATTTCATATCTCCAATCTGACTAAATAACTTCAAGCTATGTCGGCGGCAGCATGGGTCACGTATGATAGGTGGAAAAAAATTCTTGAGCGAAGGCGGTATCCGCCATTTCGAAAGACTTCTTCTTCAATTCAGTAAGAGGCTTCTCCGCATTGTGTTGACCGATTTGTTGGAGATTGTTGGGTAGCCGTGACGTCGCAAGTGTGATGCCAAACGTGGAGAGGTGCTGCGTCCGGGAGGAGGAGGCGCGGTGCGAAATGAGGTAAGAAAAACCCCTTGTGCGTAGGCTAGCATCACATGGACGATTATAATACATACTTGAGTAAATCGGGACCTAGCCTTTAGGACGAGTGGGTTAAGCCGGAAGAGAATACATAGCCACAAAGCCTCGAGGCATAGAATTTCACAGCATCGAACGTTCCTTGCAAAGACATGCTGCACGAATACGACATCCAAGAATGTTATTTTGCGGGTCGGTGGACATATGTAAGATATTGCGCAATTGTACGGCAGTTTAGGACACAACTTGAAACATGTGGAGACCTGGCCATGGCCATGGGAAAATGCATTTGAACTTTTGTGTGTTGTTTTTGCTTGGCATTGACTCACCTGTGCGATAAGGCCATTTTCTGGGTTTTTCCGGAGTGATGTTGTCATCTAAACCACATGGGTCCTGCAGGCACCCGCCGGTTGCAACTTGGAATTTGAAGGTGTTGTTTGTATCTGTTAGGATGAAAGGCTTCTGCCAATCAGGGCCAAACTTCAGTTGAACCATGCACCATCTGGTTCGAAACTATCTTGATCATCACATTTGTTGTGATATGAGGATGCATGTGCTAAGGTGTCTTGAGTACTTATTCTCATATCGAAACATGAGATTGCCACAAAAGGGAGGCTGATTGGTACCCCCGTCTTTCGCAGGAGACTTTGCCTTTACACACGACTCGGGTCAAGACGCGGATGGATATGGTTGAAATGATGCGGACGTGACGACCCGAATTACAGTCTCATGTCTGCGGTGTCAGATCACACGCAGTTCTCTTAAACTCTTGGTACGCGATTCCTGACATGAAACGATCATCAAAGTTTTACTACAAGACTCAAGTTTCAAGTACAACAAATGCCAAGTCTGTCTACTGATTTCCCAAGCTCGCGATCTGTTAACTCACAGTATTCTCCCATCCCAGAGTCTCACTGCCCTGCGTCAAAGGACGTCAACCGTGGTGGCGTGATTGATGCCGATACCGATAAGTACTAGTACTGATACGAAACCACCTAATGGAACTTCACTTAATGGCATCATTTAGGTTCGCGAATACGAATAATACTAGCTAGTATCAGTAGCTCCGATCATACCCGTGCCCAGACCCGCCAAGACTAGTATAGCACGGATCCCCATCCCCATTCCCCATCGAAGCCCTCCACTTACAAACGAGCGACCAAACGCACGATAGCAATATCCACTCGTATCTGGAATACAAACGAGAACGTGACATTGCAAATCACTATTATTAGACTTGGAGCTTAGTGGAAGGGAAGGCGCAATCGGTATCAGCATAGCTTTTACTAAACCTATGACCCGAGTCTAGTTTCGGGATGCAATCATGGTGGCATCATCCGGGAATGAAACGGTAAACTCGAGCGAGTGGTTCTGTTTCCTATCTCGTGGCAGTTAGGGGTGGGGATGACGGGTTCACCGTTGGAAGTGATCAACGCCTGTTTGATTTGGACTTGATAATCCCCGGGCGGACGTTGTCGTGTTTTGTGTTATGAGCACGTTAAGTAGAGAAGTCCTTGCGATGAGTGAGTGCATCATTGAATCACGACGAACATATTAGGGGCTCCGGCTATACTTATGATAGGAAGACCGGTACCAGTGCTATTACCAGTCCCGCAAACCAATATATATTCGATCCACACGATCAATATCGCATCCGCAGCGAAAAGAATTCATGCGTCCAAATCTAAATCCAAATCCCTATCGGTATTATTAGCTCGATGCGATCACCTATAGCTATGCATAGTCTGATCATCATATCTACAGCAATAGCAGAAATTTTGATTGCGGACTCGGACTCGGACACGGGCACTCCCATCCGGTGACGTCAATCTTGGCGAACATGAAATTCCTCTCCTATCTCGTCGGCATCATGATATAGTTGGTCAGGTGATCCAGTTGGAACGTGATCATGATGGAAGAGACGGGAGGGACGGGACGGGGCCCTTCGTGAGTAGTCGTTGGTCTACCCACGGAGCACGTTTTGTTTGAATCGTTTCGGGTGTTTCGGTGTTCAGGTTGGCGTGTGATCGTAGGGGTTCTTGGGAACGTCATGGTGCGGAGCGGGGATGCACAAGGCACCCGACGGCTTGGCGGAGAGTTGTCGCGTTAGTAGCATGATCAAAGTGCAGCCCAGCACAGCAGCTTGAATGAGCGTTCAACGCGAAATGACTGATTGATTCCGCCGTTATCATCAAGTCAATTACTAGTAATGTTAATGTGCGTGGACAGCCCAGGAACTTGAATGTATGACTGATTGGTCCATATGTTATCATCAAGCACAGGTACCATTACTATTGATTGCTTGCGTGAAGGCGGGATGTCGACACTAGTATGTACATATGGAAGGTAATTGATCACGTTCTT